GAATTCTTTGTTGGACATGGAAGGGACTGTCCTGTGCATTGAACGGTGTTTAGCAGCATCCCTTGTTTTCCCCACTAGATGCCAGTAGCACCCACCACAGGTGCGACAATTAAAATGCTTCCAGACATTGCCAAATGTCCCCTGGCAGGGAGGGAATCACCCCTGCTTGAGTATCACTGGTCTCGCTTGAGGGGAAGGTGAGAAGGGTAAATTCAGAGCAAACTGGGATCAGCCATCAGATCTGCACTTAACGCTGTTAAAGGGTTCTGTAAGTAAGGGCTGACATGTAACCAAAGTGAAAGGCTTCCCCCATCCCCTTCAGAGAGATGAAAATAGCATAGACTCTGGAGTTTAGAGCAACTTGGGTTTGCTTTTTTTTTTAATATACACAATATTTTAAGCCATGCACAGTAGCTCACACCTATAATCCTAGCATTTTGGGAGGCCAAGGAGGAGGATCACTTGAGGCCAGGAGTTCAAGACCAGCCTGGGCAGCAAAGTAAGACCCTGTCTCTAACAAAAAAAAAAAAAAATTTTTTTTATTGGCCAGGCATTTTCATGGATACCTGTTGTCCCAGCCACTTGGGAGGCTGAGGCAGAAGGATTACTTGAACTCCAGAGCTGGAGGCTGCAATGAGCTATAATCGTGCCATTGCGTTCTAGCTTAGGCAACAAAATGAGACCGTCTCTAAAAAAAAAGTCTTTAATTATAAATAAAATATATTACACACAAAATTATATTAAAAAATACATAATTTAGCATAAATGCATTAATGTGGTCGTAGCATGTACACTGTTTTGGTTTTAATGCAGTGGTTTTTTCCTCCCCTTTCCTTTTTGGCTCCCCTCTCCACCCTACCATCACCCACATCACCCCGACTCCCAGGATAACTGGTTGATAATTTATGATGCTTTCTTGCATATTTTATCGATGCTCCTACTTATACATGTATAGCGGTAGCCATTTTATATGTACACATACAACACATAGAACATTGATAATGTAATCGTGTTGTACATACTTCTCTACATGTCTTTTTTTTTTTTTTCTGAGACGGAGTCTCACTCTGTCGCCCAGGCTGGAGTACAGTGGCATGATCTTGGCTCACCACAACCTCCCCCTCCCAGGTTCAAGCGATTCTCCTGCCTCAGCCTCCTGAGTAGCTGAGATTACAGGTGCCCGCCACCACGCCCAGCTAATTTTTGTATTTTTAGTAGAGATGGGGTTTCACCATGTTGGTCAGGCTGGTCTCGAACTCCTGACCTCATGATCTGCCAGCCTTGGCCTCCCAAAGTGTTGGGATTACAGGTGTGAGCCACCGCGCCCGGCCTCTACATGTCTGAACTCAAAAATACCTCATGGAAGTTCTTCCAAGTCGCTTGGCATAGTTCTAATTCATTATTTTTTAGTGTCCATGTAATATTCCATGATGTGGCTACACCACAAATTTTTCAGCCATTCCACTTCTATGGACATATGCTGTTTCTCAATTTTTGCCCAATGAATGACATTGCAATACATATGTTTGCAAGGATCTCTGTTACTAGTGCTTTCATTTCTCTAGGATAGAGTCCCAGATGTGAGATTGCTGGGTGAGAAGGTATTTTAAATTCTACTAAATATTGCTAGATTGCTTTCCAAAAAAGCTATGATAAGTCATGTTTAAACCAACAATATATGATAAGATCTGTATCTTTGCCAGCAATTGGTATTAGTAGTCTACTATTTGCCAATCTAATGTGTATAGCTTATATCTTCTTGTTTAATTTTTTTTAATGTTTTATTTATTTATTTTTAAATCTTTTATTTCCATAGGTTTTTGGGGAACAGGTGGTGTTTGGTTACATGAGTAAGTTCTTTAGTGGCGATCTGTGAGGTTTTGGTACACCCATCACCCTCTTGTTTAATTTTGTCTTTCTTTGTTTATCAGTAAGTCTGAGCACCCTGTCATTACATTTGGTGACTTGGCATTGCCCATTTTTCTAAAGGTTCTGTTATCAATTTGTGAGAGCTCTTTGTTTTTCTTTTTTCCCTTTTTTTTTGAAATGGAGTCTTGCTCTATCGCCCAGGCTGAAGTGCAGTGGTGTGATCTTGGCAACCTCCGCCTCCCAGGTTCAAGTAATTCTCGTGCCTCAGCCTCCTGAGTAGCTGGGATTACAGGTGCCCGCCACCATGCTCGGCTAATTTTGTATTTTTAGTAGAGACAGGGTTTCACCATATTGGTCAGGCTGGTCTCAAACTCCTGACCTCAGATGATCTACCTACCTCAGCCTCCCAAAGTGCTGGATTACAGGTGTGAGCCACCGTGCCCAGCCCCCTGTGAGAGCTCTTTGTTGTTAAAATAATCTTCTGTCTTTTATGCTGAAGATATTTTTCTACTTCTATTATCTCCTTTCTTTTCTTTTTTTTCTTTTCTTTTCTTCGGAGACAGGGTCTTGCTACGTTGCCTAGTCTGGAGTCCAGTGGTGTAATGAAGGCTCACTGCATCCTCGACCTCCCAGGCTCAAGTGATCCTCCCACCTCAGCCTCCCACCTGTAGCTGGAACTACAGGTGCATGCCACCACGCCCAGCTAATTAAAATATTTTTTTGTAGAGATGGGATCTCACTATGTTGCTCAGGCTGGTCTCAAACTGGCCTCAGTGTCCCAAAGTGCTGGGATTACAGGCATTGTTTGTTTGTTGTGTCTTAATTTTGTTTACGGTATCTCTTGCCACAGTAACATTTTGCATTTGTATGTAGTCAAATGTCTGTCTTCTCTTTTACGGCTTCTGGGTTTCCAGTCTTGGTTAAGAAGGTCACCCGCACCCTCAGATTGTATATGTAGTCTCCTAGATTCTCTTTCAGGATTTGTATGATTTTAAGGTTTTCATTTTTTTTAAAGCCAGTCAAATTTAGCAGTTGGGGGTTGTGTACCAACTTTAGTGACAATAATGTCACTACCCACTACCGTCAGAGCAGCCTAAGGTTCTAATCTGCATGCGTGAAATCTTTGTAAGCAGTGTAAGACAGGCATGCAATTTTATTTCCTCTCGGATGAATGCTGTTATCATTATGCCACTACATACTACATGCTCTCATCTTTTACCCCCAGAATTGAACTGCCAGCTTCAACATATATTGTATTCTCATATTTAATAGATTGTAAGACTTTAAAACGACACAAAGAGGATCAGTACCAATATGTGATTCTTTTGTGCGTCCTGTCCGGTGACCGTTGGCTGAAGCCAGAGTTCCCTTTCACCTTGTCTCTGTTTCCCTTTCAGGTGCTGCTAGCTGAGGAGGGGACAGCTCCTCTTCCTTCTGCCGGGCCAGGGAAAGAGGAGAAACTGCTGTGTGGAGAAGGGCTGTGTCCTTTGCTTCCAGTTCAGTCTATCAAGGAGGAACAAATCCAGCCTGGGGAGGAAACGCCGCACTTAGCGAGACCCATCAAAGTGGAGAGCCCCCCCTTGGAAGAGTGGCCCTCCCCGGCCCCGTCCTTCAAAGAGGAATCATCTCACTCCTGGGAGGATTCACCCCAATCTCCCACCCCAAGACCCAAGAAGTCCTACGGTGGGCTTAGGTCGCCAACCCGGTGTGTCTCGGAAATGCTTGTGATCCAACACAGGGAGAGGAGGGAGAGGAGCCGGTCTCGGAGGAAACAGCATCTACTGCCTCCCTGCGTGGCTGAGCCGGAGCTGCTCTTCTCAGAGGGGCCCAGTACTTCCCGCTGGGCCGCAGAACTCCCGTTCCCGGCAGACTCCTCTGAGCCTGCCCCCCAGCTCAGCTACCCCCAGGAAGAGGGAGGACCTTTTAAGACACCCATTAAGGAAACGCTGCCCATCTCCTCCACCCCGAGCAAATCTGTCCTCCCCAGAACGCCTGAATCCTGGAGGCTCACGCCCCCAGCCAAAGTAGGGGGGCTGGATTTCAGCCCAGTACAAACCCCCCAGGGCGCCTCTGGCCCCTTGCCTGACCCCCTGGAGCTGATGGATCTCAGCACCACTCCACTGAAAAGCGTTCCCCCCTTTGAATCACCGCAAAGGCTCCTCAGTTCAGAACCCTTAGACCTCACCTCCGTCCCCTTTGGCAACTCTTCTCCCTCAGATATAGAAGTCCCCAAGCCAGGCTCCCCGGAGCCACAGGTTTCTGGCCTCGCAGCCAATCGTTCTCTGACAGAAGGCCTGGTTCTGGACACAATGAATGATAGCCTCAGCAAGATCCTGCTGGACATCAGCTTTCCTGGCCTGGAGGAGGACCCACTGGGCCCTGACAACATCAACTGGTCCCAGTTTATTCCTGAGCTACAGTAGAGCCCTGCCCTTGCTCTTGTGCCCAAGCTGTCCACCATCCTGGGCACTCCTGTGGCTGAGCAGTCCGAGGCTCAGTGCACCCCAAGCCTCTGAGTGAGGACAGCAGGCAGGGGCTGTTCTGTTCCTCTTAGCTCCCTGCTGCCTGATTATGCAAAGGTAGCAGTCACACCCTAGCCACTGCTGGGACCCTGTGTTCCCCAAGAGTATCTGATTCCTCTGCTGTCCCTCCCAGGAGCTGAAGGGTGGGAACAACAAAGGCAATGGTGAAAAGATATTAGGAACTCCCCAGCCTGTTTCCATTCTGTGCCCAGCAGTCTCTCTCCTTCCCTGATCTTTGCAGAGTGGCCCTTGTAAATAGTGTCAATCCTCCAAATTATCCTCTAATTATAAATGTAAGCTTATTTCCTTAGATCATTATCCAGAGACTGCCAGAAGGTGGGTAGGATGACTGGGGTTTCAATTGACTTCTGTTCCTTGCTTTTAGTTTCGAGAGAAGGGAAGACCTGCAGTGCACGGTTTCTTCCAGGCCGAGGTACCTGGATCTTGGTTCTTTACTGCAGGGACCCAGACAAGTGGATCTGCTTGCCAGAGTCCTTTTTGCCCCTCCCTGCCACCTCCCCGTGTTTCCACGTGAACTTTCCTGCAAGAAGAAATCCTGGTTTAAAAAGTCTTTTGTATTGGGTCAAGAGTTGAATTTGGGGTGGGAGGATGCAGCTGAAGCAGAGTGTGGGTGCCCAGATGTGCGCTATTAGATGTTTCTCTGATAATGTCCCCAGTCATACAAGGGAGACTAGCATTGACGAGCACTCAGGTGGAGGCTTGAGAAAGCCGAAAGAGCCCCTGACCTGCCTGGCTTCCTTAGCTTGCCCCTCAGCTTTGCAAAGAGCCACCCTAGGCCCCAGCCTAGGGTGTGAGCCGGCTTGAGAACACTACTGTAACTATCTACTCAATAAAAGTGAGGGTGGACATGCTGGGCTCTGTGGTTTATTGGTGTCTGATTCCTAAGGCACCAGGAGAGGTTGGAAAAGAAAGAGGGTGTTGATGGAGACAATGGTGATAGGGAAGAGGCAAGGCCTGAAGTTGACCCAAAGAAGCAGTTGGAGCACCTTGCACAGGCACATACTCTACAACACCAATTGCCGCTTTTCCCAGTGCCAGTCCTGCACAGCTCACCTCTTTTCCCTGTCGTCTCCAACCTTGTTCCTTGGGACCTTTGGACCTGCTGGTTTACTTAGGCCTTTTGAGGGTTCCTTAAGGAGAAAAGCTCATGAGGGGTAGGGCTCCCTGAACATCAGGGCAGGATGGCCCCAGTTACAGGTGCTCCATTCCCACTGCCATCCCCACCCTGAGGCCTGGGAGCCAGCCTGCCCTGCTTTTCTCCTGCCCGGCAGCAGCTCCTGTTACCATCTTTTGCAGTCAGAATTAAAGAGAGTGCTATCCCCTGCCTGTCTAACCTGAAAAGCAGCCAGGGGCCCAAGGGACACAAGAGCCTCCAGGGACAGGTGAGGGCCTCCTCTCTGCATCACCACTCAGTCAGCATCACCATAGCAACCCCAGGAGTAAACAATGGTGCCAGAAAGGGTTTCCCCACAAAGCCGCTCCTCCTGGCTCTGAGGCCCAGAAGAATGGCCAGTAGCCGGCAAAGATCACTCAGAGGGCCCAGTCACCCACCTCATATGGAAGAACCTTTCCTGCAGGTAGGGAGTGGCCCATCTCTGCTGCAGATGTGTATAAGAGACAGGCGTGGCTGAGCCGGAGCTGCTCTTCTCAGAGGGGCCCAGTACTTCCCGCTGGGCCGCAGAACTCCCGTTCCCGGCAGACTCCTCTGAGCCTGCCCCCCAGCTCAGCTACCCCCAGGAAGAGGGAGGACCTTTTAAGACACCCATTAAGGAAACGCTGCCCATCTCCTCCACCCCGAGCAAATCTGTCCTCCCCAGAACGCCTGAATCCTGGAGGCTCACGCCCCCAGCCAAAGTAGGGGGGCTGGATTTCAGCCCAGTACAAACCCCCCAGGGCGCCTCTGGCCCCTTGCCTGACCCCCTGGAGCTGATGGATCTCAGCACCACTCCACTGAAAAGCGTTCCCCCCTTTGAATCACCGCAAAGGCTCCTCAGTTCAGAACCCTTAGACCTCACCTCCGTCCCCTTTGGCAACTCTTCTCCCTCAGATATAGAAGTCCCCAAGCCAGGCTCCCCGGAGCCACAGGTTTCTGGCCTCGCAGCCAATCGTTCTCTGACAGAAGGCCTGGTTCTGGACACAATGAATGATAGCCTCAGCAAGATCCTGCTGGACATCAGCTTTCCTGGCCTGGAGGAGGACCCACTGGGCCCTGACAACATCAACTGGTCCCAGTTTATTCCTGAGCTACAGTAGAGCCCTGCCCTTGCTCTTGTGCCCAAGCTGTCCACCATCCTGGGCACTCCTGTGGCTGAGCAGTCCGAGGCTCAGTGCACCCCAAGCCTCTGAGTGAGGACAGCAGGCAGGGGCTGTTCTGTTCCTCTTAGCTCCCTGCTGCCTGATTATGCAAAGGTAGCAGTCACACCCTAGCCACTGCTGGGACCCTGTGTTCCCCAAGAGTATCTGATTCCTCTGCTGTCCCTCCCAGGAGCTGAAGGGTGGGAACAACAAAGGCAATGGTGAAAAGATATTAGGAACTCCCCAGCCTGTTTCCATTCTGTGCCCAGCAGTCTCTCTCCTTCCCTGATCTTTGCAGAGTGGCCCTTGTAAATAGTGTCAATCCTCCAAATTATCCTCTAATTATAAATGTAAGCTTATTTCCTTAGATCATTATCCAGAGACTGCCAGAAGGTGGGTAGGATGACTGGGGTTTCAATTGACTTCTGTTCCTTGCTTTTAGTTTCGAGAGAAGGGAAGACCTGCAGTGCACGGTTTCTTCCAGGCCGAGGTACCTGGATCTTGGTTCTTTACTGCAGGGACCCAGACAAGTGGATCTGCTTGCCAGAGTCCTTTTTGCCCCTCCCTGCCACCTCCCCGTGTTTCCACGTGAACTTTCCTGCAAGAAGAAATCCTGGTTTAAAAAGTCTTTTGTATTGGGTCAAGAGTTGAATTTGGGGTGGGAGGATGCAGCTGAAGCAGAGTGTGGGTGCCCAGATGTGCGCTATTAGATGTTTCTCTGATAATGTCCCCAGTCATACAAGGGAGACTAGCATTGACGAGCACTCAGGTGGAGGCTTGAGAAAGCCGAAAGAGCCCCTGACCTGCCTGGCTTCCTTAGCTTGCCCCTCAGCTTTGCAAAGAGCCACCCTAGGCCCCAGCCTAGGGTGTGAGCCGGCTTGAGAACACTACTGTAACTATCTACTCAATAAAAGTGAGGGTGGACATGCTGGGCTCTGTGGTTTATTGGTGTCTGATTCCTAAGGCACCAGGAGAGGTTGGAAAAGAAAGAGGGTGTTGATGGAGACAATGGTGATAGGGAAGAGGCAAGGCCTGAAGTTGACCCAAAGAAGCAGTTGGAGCACCTTGCACAGGCACATACTCTACAACACCAATTGCCGCTTTTCCCAGTGCCAGTCCTGCACAGCTCACCTCTTTTCCCTGTCGTCTCCAACCTTGTTCCTTGGGACCTTTGGACCTGCTGGTTTACTTAGGCCTTTTGAGGGTTCCTTAAGGAGAAAAGCTCATGAGGGGTAGGGCTCCCTGAACATCAGGGCAGGATGGCCCCAGTTACAGGTGCTCCATTCCCACTGCCATCCCCACCCTGAGGCCTGGGAGCCAGCCTGCCCTGCTTTTCTCCTGCCCGGCAGCAGCTCCTGTTACCATCTTTTGCAGTCAGAATTAAAGAGAGTGCTATCCCCTGCCTGTCTAACCTGAAAAGCAGCCAGGGGCCCAAGGGACACAAGAGCCTCCAGGGACAGGTGAGGGCCTCCTCTCTGCATCACCACTCAGTCAGCATCACCATAGCAACCCCAGGAGTAAACAATGGTGCCAGAAAGGGTTTCCCCACAAAGCCGCTCCTCCTGGCTCTGAGGCCCAGAAGAATGGCCAGTAGCCGGCAAAGATCACTCAGAGGGCCCAGTCACCCACCTCATATGGAAGAACCTTTCCTGCAGGTAGGGAGTGGCCCATCTCTGCTGCCTACATTTTTGTACCCCACTGGGCTACAGGCTATCCCCTATAGTGGGCCAGGCTTTCTTCTGGGCAGCTGACCGCCTGGCCCATACATTTTCTGCTGTCTTCCCCTTTTCATCCTATGACACTGGGAACCCAGAGCTCAGAACACAGAGGAGATGCCTTACTAGTGCCACATCTCCCAGTCCCACCCACTGGGGGGATCTTGTAGAAATGACTTAGGGGCCCAAGCTCAAGAAACAGGTGGGTTTTTGCAATCAGAACTAAGTCCCTGGGGCCAGGCACAGTGGCTCATGCCTGTAATCCCAGCACTTTGGAAGGTCGAGGGGAACGGATTGCCTGAGGTTAGGAGTTTGAGACCAGCTTGGCCAACATGATGAAATCCTGTCTCTACTAAAAATACAAAATTAGCCAGGCGTGGTGGCGCACGCCTGTAATCCCAGCTACTCAGGAGGCTGAGGCAGGAGAATCACTTGAACCCGGGAGGCAGAGGTTGCAGTGAGCCGGGACTGCACCCTTGCACTCCAGCCTGGGCAACAAGAGTGAAACTCTGTCTAAAAAAAATAAAAGTCCCTGGGGATGGATAGGAGGGAGAAGCATTTTAAAAGAGACACATTTTTGTTGCGGTCAGGCACTGTGCTAAGTAAGGCCATTTCATTTCACCCAGCATGGTATGCCAAGCAAGAGCACAGACAGAGGGCTTAAGTCCCAGCTGTCACTCAGGCACCAGCACCCTGCGTGAGTTACCAACCCTTACTGTATCTTGCATTCCGCATCTTTGAGATGGGGACGATAGCAATACTTGCTCATAGAGTTGCAGGGGTTAAATAAGATGCATGTAAGTATTTAGCACAGCGTCAATATGTATTTGCTGCTGTTTATTTCATGGGGGGCAGGGTGCAGAAAGGGGAAGAAGGAGCTGGCCATTCTAGACACTTTCTGTACTAGCATTTTAATGAGGAGTGGGAGGAAAGCGTCAATGACAGAGAAATGAGTGTTGAGAGGAGTCTGGGATGGGAAGACACGTGGCCCTATTTTCTGGAGAAGGACTTTCCTGGTATTTCGCCAAGACCAGGAGCAAGTGAAGGTGGGCTGCCCCCCTTGGCATGGTAGGGGGCATTTCCCTTCGTGATTTCCTGAGACCTGATGTACCCTCTAAGGAGCACGTTCCTGGGTGGGAATGTGGGGACACCAGAAGGGAGGAGGGAGGTGAAGGTAAAGAGCGAAAGCTGAGCACAGGGGGTGGGAAGTCAAAGCCAAAATATGGTTAATGGCAAGAAACCAAAAGATGAGTGACTGTGACAATGATACAGAGCAGCCATAACTGCTGCCAGGCGGGAGAGGGATAGAGATGTGGCCCTGCCAGGACTTCTGTGTCCTGATGAGAATCCTGGGCTGGCGGAGGCTGGGCCTGGGAAGGAGAGCAGAGTGCCTCGTCCACCTTTCTGCACCCCCGTCTGCACAACCTTCCCCAGGCTCCCTTTTGTCTCTCCCTAGATGGTCCAGGCCAGCGAGTCCCTCCCGCCCTCCCAAACGTGGGCTCAGCGTGAGTTCTTCCTCCCCAGCGAGTCCTGGGAGTTCCCTGGCTTCACCCGGCAAGCCTACCACCAGCTGGCCCTGAAGCTGCCGCCCTGCACAGATATGAAGTCCAAGGTGCGTCAGCGGCTCATCCATCCTTGGAAAGGTGGCGTGCAGCACACCTGGGGCTTCCACACGTGGCTCGATGTGTGCCGCCTGCCTGCCACCTTCCCCACTCGGCCTGACAGGCCCTACGATAGCAATGTCTGGCGCTGGCTGACAGACTCCAATGCCCACAGACGCCCCCCGACGGAGCACCCCATCCCCCCTCCCTCCTGGATGGGGCAAAACAGCTTCCTGACTTTCATCCACTGTTATCCCACGTTTGTGGACATGAAAAGGAAGAAGCAGGTGATTTTCAGGACAGTGAAGGAGTTGAAGGAGGTGGAGAAGCTCAAGTTGAGGAGTGAGGCAAGAGCACCTCCACTTGATGCCCAGGGCAACATTCAGCCGCCAGCGAGCTTCAAGAAGTAAGACGGCGCCTACTCAGGGAGCCCACCCAGCCTGCCCTGCCCTGCCCAGGTGACCCCTCCCTCTCTAGGGTTCCTGTTTCTAACCGGGACTCTGCCCTTCCCACCTCTGGTCATCTGAAAACCAAACTCTTTTCTGAGTGTAGCTGAAAGGACAAGGTGGAGACAAGGTAAGAACAGCGAGTGGAGGCACAGAATTTCACTAAAATCTGGGGGGACAGCTATGCAGGAGACACCTGCTAGGCACTGGGGATACGGAGAAGTGCAATTCAGTGCCTGCCCTCAAGGAGCTTTGCAAAGATAGCTATCAAAACAAGGCTACACATGCGAAGGGCTCAGAGTGTGAGACAGAGGGTGTTAAAGGAAGTCAGTTATTAATGTAAAGAACTGGAGTGAAAGTTGTAGCCTGAAGGCCTGGAGTGCAGTTCCAACCCCATGACCATGGCGAGGTGCCCAGCTTCTCCAGTCTCAGCTCCCTCACCAATGAAGTGGGGATCCTCAGGTACCGACCTCACTGTGGGAGTATAAATTGAGCTAGTGAATAGGTGGAAGAACTGAACAAAAGTTAGATGTTATGGCAGGGCACGGGTGGCTCACGCCTGTAATCCCAGCACTTTGGGAGGCCGAGGCAGCCGGATCACCTGAGGTCAGGAGTTCCAGACCAGCCTGACCAACACGGAGAAACCCCGTCTCTACTGAAAATACAAAATTAGCCGGGTGTGGTGACGGGTACCTACAATCCCAGCTGCTCGGGAAGCTGAGGCAGGAGAATCACTTGAACCTGGGAGGCGGAGGTTCCGGTGAGCCGAGATGGCACCATTGCACTCCAGCCTGGGCAACAAGAGTGAAACTCTATCTCAAAATAAAAAAATAAAATAACAGTTAGATGTTATTACAGAAATTCAGGAGAGAAGGGTTGCCGCGAGCTGGAGTGTCCCTGCCACAGGAAGCCTTCATGGGGAAGTCAGGGTTCACGCTGGAAGGGTGGAAAGCCAGCAGACGGCCAAAAGCAGTGGCTGAGGCCCTCCAGGCAAGGCTGAGAAGTCGGAGCAGAGTCAGGAACATGAGAGGAGCCGCTGTGAACCCCGCAGCTCCTGCTCCCGGCCACCCTGGGAACTCATGGATGCTTCCTAACTGTGTCCAGCCCAGGCACTAAGCATGCAAGAGTAACAAGATAGGGGGAAGGCAGTGAAAATGGAATGTCTCAAATTCCAATCCCAAGGGCATGACCAAAGCACTGGGGAGTTGGAGCAGGAGGTTGTGAAGATTTTTAATCTGAAAAAAAAAAAAAAAAAAAAAAAACAGACGAGGCACGGTGGCTCACGCCTGTAATCCCAGCACTCTCGGAGGCTAAGGCAGGCAGATCGCCTGGGGTCAGGAGTTCGAGACCAGCCTGGCCAACATGGTGAAACCTCATCTCTACTAAAAATACAAAAATTAGCTGGACGTGGTGGCGGGTGCCTGTAATCCCAGCTACTCTGGAGGGTGAGGCAGGGGAATCGCTTGAACCCGGGAGGTGGGGGTTGCAGTGAGCTGACGCACCACTGCACTGCAGCCTGGGAGACAAGAGCGAGACTTTGTTTCAAAAAAAACAAAAAACAACGCCAAAGGTTGGTGACTTTGAGAAACCAGTCCCCTTTGTGGGGGCCCAGGCTTCTCCCTGCCTCCTGCTACCCTTCCCTGAAGACTGCTGATTGCTGATAGGTGCTGACCCTGGCGAAGGGGAGAAAGAGCACTCCAGAGAGACTCGCAGTGGTGTGACAGTGCCAGGTGGCGTTCCAAACGCTTCTCTGTATTATCTAATCCCCCAGGACCTTCTGGGTAGAAACTATCATTAACCCCATTTTTTTTTTTTTTTTTTGAGGCAGAGTCTTCCTCTTTCGCCCAGGCCGGAGTGCAGTGGTGTGATCTCAGCTCACCGCAACCTCCACCTCCTGGGTTCAAACCATTCTCCTTGCCTCAGCCTCCCGAGTAGCTGGGATTATAGGCTCCCGTCACCACGCCTGGCTAAGTTTTGTATTTTTTAGTAGAGACGGGGTTTCTCCATGTTGGCCAGGCTAGTCTTGAACTCCCGACCTCAGGCCCAACTCTGCCTCCCAAAGTTCTGGGATTATAGGTGCAAGCCACCATGCCCGACCTCATTAACCCCATTTTACAGATGGGCTATCTGAGATGGACAGGTCAAGTACCTTGCATAGCCAAGTGTGGTGGTTCACGCCTGTAATCCCAACACTTTGGGAGGCCGAAGTTGTAGGATCACCTGAGGCCAGTTCAAGACCAACCTGGGGCACGATATGAGACTCTGTCTCCACAAAAATATCAAAAAATTAGCCAGGTGTGGTGGCACACACCTATAATCCCAGCTACATGGGAGGCTGAAGTGGGAGGACTGTCTGAGCCCAGGAGGTCGAGGCTACAGTGAGCCATCACTGTGCCACCGCACTCCAGGCTGGGCAACATGGTGAGACCCTAGCTCAAAAAAAAAAAGTTCCCACAGCAGGTGGTTAGAGGGTCAAATGGCATAGGGCCTAGCGTAGAGAAGGGGTTCAGTAGATTGTATCATTATTAGTATGGTATCTCCATGAGAGTAGGATCCTTGTCTCACATGTTTACTGTTGTAGGCCCAGGCCCTGGAGCCAGGAATGAAGGAATGAGTCTCCTCAAGGAATGAGGTCCTGCCTCAGAGCAGGCAGGACACATAACAGGAAGTCATGTGCCACATAATAACCTTTTGGTCAATGACAGACCACATATACCACAGTGGTCTCGTAAGATTATAATGGAGCTAAAAAAACCTCCTGCCTGATTATGTTGCAGTTTTCTTAACATTTTAGCACAATTCCCTCATTTTAAAAATACATGTAGTGGACTGGGAATGGTGGCTCACGCCCATAATCTCAGCACTTTGGAAGGTCGAGGCGGGCGGATCACTTGAGGTCAGGAGTTTGAGACCAGCCTGGCCAACATGGTGAAACCCTGTCTCTACTACAAATACAAAAATTAGCCAGGCGTGGTGCCACATGCCTGTAATCCCAGTTACTCGGGAGGCTGAGGCAGGAGAATCACTTGAACCCGGGGGGTGGAGGTTGTAGTGAGCTGAGATTGTGCCACTGCATTCCAGCCTGGGTGACAGATCAAGACTCCATCT